CTATCATCTTTTTTTTTGCCTTGAAGAAGGGACCCTGCGCGGCCCCCGAAACGTCGGCTCTGTTGATTATTGTGACACAATCGTCCAATAAAAAGGACATATCTATTTAAATGATCTTGAGTGCTGGTGACCTGTTTTTCTACTTTGTGTATAGTTCATGACATTAGTGGTGTACAAAATAATTTGATACAATTCTACCATTATTCACTTTTATGCAAGGCTATGAATAAGTCTAATATTCAATTGTCTTATCATGTTCTATACTGTATGTTTGTATTACATATATGTGTTAGATGTGATCTACCAAATCCCCCAATATCATCAAATGTACACATCGCACCCGGTGTCCAGCTCCTAGACTGTGTTACTGTTTAAAGGTAAATTCTGAAGAGTGAGACATTGATCATGTGACATTTTTATGAATAAAATATTATTGCACATTCAGAACTGTGGTTGTGACTCTGACTTATGGACTCCAGGTTTTACCCCTCAATAAAAATGTCATCCTCCTCATCTGACCACAAACATATCAGCACGTAAATCACAACAATGCTTAAATAAGAGAATATCTTCAGGCAGGGGCGTAACTAGAAATCACAGGGCCCCATAGAAAAATTTTGTATGGGGCCCCCGTGATTGCTAGTTATGCCACTTGCAGAGCCCACCATAGACTCTCTATAGTGGGCTCTGCAAGGTCTCAGTTGAGCTGCACGCCTCTTACCTGTCAGCGTTGTCCACCTCCGTGGTCGCCACCGCCGCTGGGCCCCTGCCTCCTCTTCCGTCCCGGGCTCCGCCTCCTTCTATCGATGGGCCCCGCCTCCTCTTACATCACTCGCCACACCTGCTCTTAGATCGCTGGCCAGTGATGTGAGAGGAGGCGGGGTTGCTGTTAGGCGGGCCTCGCCTCCTTCTTTAGCTGCAAACGCCGGTGTAACTATCCGGCCTATTCTGCTGCATCTGCTGGCTGTCACTGACACAGCTCCGCAGCGGCTGTGAGGGGGAACGTTCTCCTTCACAGCTGCTGCTGAGCTATGTCAGTGACAGCCAGCACCCGAGACGCCATAGCGACCCAGGCGGCCCTGGCCGGGCCCCCCTGTGCACGGGCCCCATAGCGGCCGCCTGGGTCGCTATGGCGATTGTTACACCACTGTCTTCAGGTGAGGCCCAGACCAAGGTGTGAAATCCCAGGAAGCTAAAATAAAAAGGCAAACAATTAAATGTGACTATAAATGTCTTTTTAGTAAATTGAAAAACCCGGTGAGCGCCGTATTTCAAAAAGCTTGCTGCGATTATGTGAGTGTCATGGTCATGTGACACGGTGATCAGCGGTACACCGGCAAATGTGTTGGGGGTAGTGTATTGAATAGCAGCTATAAGGAGAACACAGGAAGGAGGATTGTTGCCATAGACCGGCTTAGATACTGGACACTAAAAGCAACATGTAGGATACAGGCAGGGCTGTAATTGGCATGGATAATAGGTCGTTATGTGCTCATCAATAGAATACAGGAAACAGAATGATATTATAGAATAGATGACACAGAGCTGGGAGTGAAGGCTTTGGGTAGTATTTTAAGCAGCTTTTACCATTGTGGTGAAATTGGTGTGATTGACATTAGGTGGCATCGCCCAGGAGGAGTGACTGGAAAGGATGGGGCATGGTGGAAGTAATCAGCTTGGTACAGGGAGGAGCATTATTAGTTTTACCATTTGAGGTTTATGTAAAACTTCCATTAACAGGTGTAAGTAATTATATACACAGTACTGTGCAAATATTAACAAAATGGAAAGAAAAGGAAGAAAAGTGAAATCCAGATCCAATCAATATTTTGGGGTGACTCCCCCCCTTTACTTGCACACATTTTGTGGAAGAACTCAGCAGGTAGGTTGTTCTCGGTACATCTTGGAGAACTCAGCACAGATCTTCTGTGGATGTCGGCTGCCTCAAATCCTTCTGTATCTTCATGTAATCCCAGACAGACTCCATGATGGTGAGATCTGGGCCCTGTGGGGGCTCAACATCATGGACTCCTTGTTCTTCTTAGTGACATTGTCCGTATGTTTGGTGTCGTTTCCCTGCTGTAGAATACATTTGGGGCCAATCACACACCTTCCTGATGGTATGGTATGATGGACAGGTATCTGCTTGTATTTCTCAGCATCGAGGATGCCATTGATCCTGACCAAATCTCCATCTCCTTTGGCAGAAATGCCGCCCCGGACTTGCAGGAACCTCCACCATGCTTCACTGTTGCTGCAGACACTCATTATTGTACCGCTCTCCAGGCCTTCGGAAAACAATCGGCCTCCTGCCAAAGCCAAATATTTCACATTTTGACTGATCAGTTCGGAGCACCTGCTGCCCTTT